GACCAGGGAGTTCAATGCGGTCACAGCAGATGTCCTGGTGAGAGATTGTAGAATGGGTCCAAGTCGATGGATGGAAGAAGCTTCTGTGGGAAGAGCCAGCAGGCCTTGGTAGTGGAGGAGAATGAGATTGGAAGGGAGGAAGGAAGCCAGGGCTCAGGTCCCTGGCTCTGGGGTCTGGGTGGCAATGTGTGCACTATTCCATGTCGAGAAACGGATGCTGGTAGGGGCAAGCTGACGAGCGTGGTGTTGAGGATATGCTGAGTTTGAGAGGTCTGGGGACTATGAGACCAGCAGGCTTGGGCCCCATGCTGAGGCTGTGGAAGGGGAGAATGGGACATGCAGAGGAAGGTCCAGGAGTGGATGCTGACAGCCCCAAAATAGGAGAGGAGGGGTTGGCGGCTGAGAAGCAGGGGCCATGAAGGTAGAACAATGGAGGGCAGGGTGTGTGTGTGAGGGGAGGCAGAGATTCTGGAAACCAAGTGAGTCTGTTTCAAGGAGGAGGGAGGGTGCCCCAGATCCAGGACACCCCCTCACCCCCTCCACCAGGGGTCAAAGAAGATGACAGTGATGGCATCCTTAGATTTGGCGCCTAAAAACATTAGCAGGAGGGACAGAAGCCAGAAGGGGCAGAGGAGGGGGAGAAGGAATTGGGGGGCTATGAGTGAGGGAGCTGGTGGCCAGGAGACTCTTCCCAGGAGACGGGGAGACCAGAGGATCGGGAGCTAGAGACAGTGCGGTGTTTGGGGTGCTGGTGGCCTGATATGTGGCTGGTTGGTTGGTACAGAAAAGAGTCTGGACCTTAACCGTTATGGGAAGTTCGGAGTTCGGAGGAAGTGAATGATGACTGAAGAAAGGGAGGCAGCCCTGGAGGGGTAGGCCCCTGGGAAGGGCTGGTGCTGGGCAGCAGGAAAATGTCCCCAAGCGGGGGGAGTTCCCATCCATGGCCCTAATTTCACGCAGTGGAGAGGGAGGAGAGGCCTCTGTGAGACGCAGGGTCGGTGGGGTCATGCAGCCACGGGGCTTCTGTTTTAAGGGGGAGTCTGAGGGTCTCCATCCGTGGAGAACGCTAGAGACGATCGAGGCAAAGGGCCAGGCCGAGCTCGTCCACAGCCCTCCCGCCAGCCCCCGCCCCTTACCCTGAAGAGCGCCGCGTCCTGCTGCGCCTGGTACCCCTGCTTGGCCGCGTGCTTCCAGGGGATGCGGAAGAGGGTCTTGCCCTCGTCCTCCCAGCACAACCCCGGGTAGCTCCCGCTCTCGACCTGCAACACCAGCCAGTCCCGGAGCCGCAGGGGCCCCCCGGACCCCGCCGCCTGTCGTCCGCCGTCGGGGACCTTCCCTTCTTCCCTCCGCCAGGGGTCGCCGGCCATCGGGGATGCAGGGCTGGGGGTCAGCTCTGGGCGACAGCGGGGGCCACCTGGGTGGTGCGTGGAGGCAGCGAAAGCGAAAGTCTGGCAGGGCAGGTTTCACTTTCCTTTCTGTCCCTTCTCCCGGGAGGCCCTTTGCATTGGTCCCTCCCCGTGTAGCCTGACCCAGAGGGCGTGGGGCCTCCTGCACAGGTCAGCTGAAGGGGCCAGGGACGCCAAGACCCATTGGAGGCAAGGCGTGGGACAGCCAGGGCTCTGCCCGTGCCCAGGGGTGGTGTGTGTGTGTGGAGGTGGGGGGCGCATAACGTCCCTGGCCCCTCGGCTGCACCTGCTTTCTGCTCTTCCCAGCCAGCTGGCCAGACAGTGGTGGGCCCCTTTGCAGAACTGGCCCGTAGAGGCTGGAAAGGTCGTGCTTCTCAAACTAAGTCCACCCGGACTTGTAGAATGTGATTCTGATCCAGTGGGTCCATGGGCCACACGTGGGCAGCGATTTCCTTAAACCTTGGGAGTCCCCCTTTATGGATGCTCACCGGTGCGGCCTGTGAGAGCGGTTTCTGCAGTGACCTGGGTTGGTGCTTGAGGTAGTGCGTGAGATCAGTGTAATTACCTCCTTTACTGTGAAGAAGACTGAAGCTGAGAGGGGAGAGCCCTATAACACGGTCTCACGGCTAATGGGTGGGGGAGCCAGGATCCAAACCTGTGTCTCTCTATCCTGAGAGCTCTGGAGCCGAAACAACAGCTACCCCAGAGTCTAGGGGTTCCTGGTGGGGTCTGTGATCCCCCCGAGTGTCTCTGCATTTTTCTAGTTTGTTCTGTCATTAAATTGTCACCTGGGGCTTGTGACCTAAAAGAGGTCAAGTAGCTCGGACGGCTCCCCCCCTTGCTGTGTACATGGGGAAACTGAGGCTCCAAGAGAGAAGCCCCCCCTCTGCAGTGAGTGTGCAGAGCTGGGCCCAGCCACCTTAGCCAGAGGCTGGTAGCACTGTCCTTCATGTGACCCTGTGAGAGGGGCCTTCATGCTCCCCACCCTCTGTCCCCATATTCCAGCAGCCACCCAGTTGGGACACTTCTAGCCATATCAGGATTCAAACTCGGGCCTGGAGCGCTCCTATGGGGCATAAAGCATTTCACATGATTAAATACAAAATTATTTAAATAATACAAAATAATTGCACCAAAGCAGAGGCCGTTGGTGTGTCAAACAATCCCTTCATTTGCCTAAGTGGCTGAGTTATAGGAATTAGGAGGGTGGGGTCCCTAGCCAGACTGCCTGGATTCAAATCATGGTCCCACCACTTGCAAGCTGGTGACCTTGGACACCAAGGGTTCCCTCGTAGGGTTGCTTGAGGATTAAACGAGATACAGGTAAAATGTTTAACACATTGCCTGGCCCATCGCGAGTCAATATGTGACTGGTACTATTATTGTTGTTGAGTCACAGTGTGGTGAAAGTAATGATGGAAGCAGGGGGAGCATCGTGAAGGACCTGCAACATCAGATCGAGGTGTTTGTTTTGTCCTATGATAATGGGGGGCCATAGAGGTTTTAAGTAGGGGAAGATACTGATATAAATAGAATGGTGTTTTTAACCCAGTGGATAGTGACCCCCCCCCACCCCCATTAGCCAGGACTACCGCAGGCTCCCTGCACTCTGCTGAGCCCAGCCGTTTTGCTTTCACACAGGATCCTACCTCAGGGCCTTTTCACTCACTGTCCTCTCTACCTAGAATGCTTCTCCCCAGAGAGAACAGTTCACTCCCTGACTTATGTTCCTTTAGCTTATCTATCTGGCGTCTTTCCCACCGGAATATCAGCAACAGGAGGGCACAGTTCTTGGTGCACAGTGAGAGCCCCATGCCAGTGGCTATATTATTGTAGCGATTTCAGAGCCCTCTCAACTCTGGGTTAATTTTAGTTGCGGAAAAGGCAGCTCCAGTGACCCCTGCTCATCCTTGAAGTCAGTTTGCTGCTTTATTGGGCTGCCTGGCCTTTAAACTCTAGGTGGGCAGGGTCACTCCCACCAGCCGGGGTGGATGCTCCGCCCCAGTAACCACCGAAACCAGAAAGAGCCGCTTCTCAGCAGCCCTCCCGCCGGCCGCCCCCCCTCTGGCCGCTGTCCTCCGCGAGCTGCCCGCCCGCCCCGGGATTAGGTGAACTCGGTGTGTAAATGTCAGGCCGCGGGAGGCATTTACCAGCGAGTATCTGTGAACAGGGAAGGGGAGGGGGTCGGCGGGGAAGAGGGGGCTCAGGGAGGAGAGTGGGGAGGGGAAGGGGATTCAAAGAGGAGGGAGACCGAGGCTCGGGGAGAAGTGGGGGGAGAGTGTCAGAGAAGCAGTCAGAATTAGCCCAGAGGACTGCAGTTTAACTCCCAGCCCCCTACCCCCCCACCCCCCCCGTTTCCGCAGGCTCCTGGCCCGGGGCAGTCCTGCCGCCCCACCTCTGCTCAGTAACGGGGAGGCACTCAGAAAGGCCGCTTCGGTGTCTCTTTAATACCCTG